TGATATAGCCATAACTTTCATATCTTTTGATGAAATACTTTGATACTCAGAATATAAGGATATATTAATAGTGTAGACAAGATGACATGGTCAGAATGCACATGCATGCACGTGCGCGCATGCGCATTGATTGAAATAACCAATACAATTGATATAGACTTTACTTGTACATTTTTTGATGAATTGCTTTGACACTCAGAATATAAATATATATTAGAAGTGTAGACAAGAAGACTTAATCAGCGCACACATGCATGCACGTGCGTGCGCGTGCAATGAGTAAAATGACAAGTACACTTGATATAGCCATAAGTTTCATATCTTTTGATGAAATGCTTTGATACTCAGGATATCAGGATATATTAATAGTGTAGACAAGATGACATGGCCAGAATGCACATTCATGCACGTGTGCGCATGCTCAATGATTACAATAACCTATACAAATGATATAGACTTAACTTGTATATTTTTTGATGAATTGCTTTGAAACTCAGAATATAAATATATATTAGAAGTATAGACAACATGACATGATCAGCGCACACATGCATGCATTTGCATGCACGTGCGTGCGCGTGCAATGAGTAAAATGATCAATATACTTGATAAAGCCAGAACTTTTACATTTTTTGATGTAATGCTTTGATACTCAGAATATATAGACATACTATAAATGTAGACAAGACGACATTGTCAACATGCATATGCATGCACGTGCGCGCGCACGCAATGCTAAAATGACCAATATACTTGATATAGCTGTAACTTTTATACTTTTTGAGGAAATGATTTGATACCCGAAATATGTAGATATATTAATAGTGTTGACAAGATGACACGATCATCATGGACATGCATGCACGTGCGCGCGCGTGCAATGCGTAAAATGACAGATATACTTAATATAACCGAATTTTTTTTTTATCTTTTAATGAAATTTGAATATAAAGATGTATTAAAAGTGTAGACAAGTTGACATGGTCATTTTGTACATGAATGCCCGTGCGCGCGCGTGTAATGCGTAGAAAAAAAACCCCAATATACTTGATTGCCTTTTTTAATGAAGCTTACCGGGAATAAGACACCAAAAGGAAGTTGGGGAGCGTTTGGGGAACATCTGTAACGGTCCCCGTTACAATTAATACTAGTTAAGCATTGAATCGTTATTATTTGAAAGATATAGTCTCATAACTGCAACAGTGTGTGCAAACAAATTGAGTAACACGCTTTAGCCTGTTATATTATAATGAATTTCATCAATTTTCTCTTGCATATGATGCATTATTCTTGACCTCTAGAAGTGACCAAATACACAGTTACAAAGTACTTCTGAAGTTTTTCCTCAGTCAGGAATCATATCACATAAAATATTGACAAACATATCAACAATTTTTATCTTTTAATAGACCTTGGCCTTTGAATTAATTACCCTTAGGCTATATAAATACCTATATAATTGTGTTTTCCAGTAAACAACTTTAATTATCTTGTAACAATTAGTAGAAAGATACTGCAGGAACAACCTTTAGCTTTGATGTGAAAGCTTCATAAATCTCTGAATGTCTTTTATTTAGCAACTCTGTCTCTATGTAATAAGTATGAAGTCACAACAAAAAGAATTTAAGTTGATTTGTGAAACAAAAGTGATGAAAAACATATCTATGACCTTTTTCCTTCAAGCAAGTCAAAACTTGACATTTCGATATATTGACAACATATTATCAATTAACAATATTTATTTTCCATTCAATATATCCCAATGAGCTTGAAATAAAAGATGCCACAGAGTCTGATGCATCTGTTTCATATTTAGATATTTTACTAGAAAAAGACGTTAATAGTAACCTAACAACAAAGCTTTATGATATAAGTGATGTCTTCAACTTTCAATCGTCAACTTCCCTTACTTATGTAGCAATATACCCTTATCACCTGCATATGCATGGGGTTTATGTCTCTCAGTTGATTCGATATGCAAGAGTATGCTCTACGCATGAAGGCAAGCTATTGACAAACAAGTTGATGAAACAAGGATATCAACAGTCTTGTTTGAAGTCATCATTTCGCAAGTTTTATGGTTGATACAATGACCTTGTTACATGTAGCACATACAACCTATCATTGAGTCAAACGCTGACTGAAGTTTTTCATACTAATTGTTAGGACATTATTTATACACTGAACTGTCTATGGATATTTGCATTTTTTTTTATCATGACAAGGAGCACACGGTGGGTGTGACCGGTTGGCAGGGGATGCTCACTCCTCCATGGCCCACCTCTAAATTTCAAGGTCCATGTTTGCTCTGCTCCAGATTTGTATCGTTTCATTGGACTTTCGAGATTGAATACTGTTCGTTAGGCAATAATAACAAAATTCCTATATTCTTATCCAAATTTTTTGAAAAATCGAGGAGGGCGGGCAGATTTTATTTTCCATTTTTTACATTGTGCAGATTTTGTGTTGACCTGGTCATTCAGTGCAGATTTATCTATAATGCCCAAATAAAAGTCATAGTAGAGGTCCATTTAAATGTGTATATCTCTTACTACTCATCATCTCCAGTCTTTCACAACCAATGATCCTTGTTTAATACATATTACAGCAATTACCATCTTGTCAGCTGTCAAATTCATGCTGACATTCGCGGGATTTAAAACGAAAGTTGAATGGTAGTTGAATACCGATCCAAACAGGATCAAGACGAAGAAAAACATAAAATTTTTAAAAAATGAGGCGGGGGTAAAAAACTGGTGCAGGCGGGGATGAGAATCTCGGAATTTTTTTTTATTATGGCCTTATCTTCATATTTCACACCTTAGAAATTAATAATTTTTATTTCTCTTTAATACCCATAGGTGTTATATGTATCAAATTTGTTTGAACTTGGTTCAGACGTAAAAAGAAAGAAGCTGAAAAGTTGTCCCCTGAGTGACTTAGTTGACCTAAAAATTTCCTTAACAGGGTCATAAGAAGGCATTTAAAGGAATATTTCTAATGAAAATCATATGACTTAATTTTCAAATTCTTCTGTTTACCACATCTGTAGGATGTAAAGGACTTACCTTTGCTATTTTTGTACATTAATTTGCTATAGATTTTTTTTTCTATACATTTAAATGTCATTAAGTTCAGTAACTTCCCAGTCAAAAGAATGACTGAGCCAATAGCAGATAAATGTTGTTCTGTTCAAACTTATGAAGTAATTATGTAATTAAGACTTTATCCCCTCATTTCATAAAAAACAAGCATTCTGAGAGTATTGCATTAGCAATACTAGTCCCCTACCGGCAAGTGTAATTTGGTTCCCGTTAAAAATTGAAAATGCCATAATTCCATCAAAAATCAATGAAGTGGAACGAAATACAAACTTGATCTATAACTCATCTAGGTAAAGTCACATACCAAAAATCAACTCAATATCTGCAAGCGTTTAGAAAAAAATCGCGGAAAACCTTGAAAAATTCAAAAGGTCGTAATTCCTTGAAAAATCATTGAAGCGGAACGAAATGCCAACTTGATCTGTAACTCATCAAGATACACTCACATACCAAAAATCAGCTTAATATCTGCAAGCGTTTGGAAGAAAAGTGCGGAAAACCGAGTGGGACAGACTGACAGACAGACAGAGGGACAGCTAGACAGACAGACAGACGGACGGACGGACAGACTCAGAGGAAACCTATAGTCCCCTCCGGTTTCACCGGTAGTGGACTAAAAAACATTAAGAGAAAAACCCTGAAAGTTTTTACATTCTGGATTACCCTTGAGCCAAACAGAAGAGAGTTTGTCATTTTTGACAGTAGCTTCTAATGTTTTATTCATGTTAAATCCACTGTATGGATAACAGTCTTCTTATTGAAAAAATATTTCACCTTACAATATTATACATAAAAAAAAACTTACAGAAGACCACATTAAAGTAGAGAAATCCTACTTCATGAACAAATACATCTATCTCTGACTTGAATCTGTTCTTAATTCAAAATTTCTAAATTAAAATTCTTGTTTTATAACGATTGATAATTTTTCAGTCAATAATCAGTCTGACCAAATGATGGTCAGGTATTTCTTAAGGTTCACTGACCCTCTGGTAAGAGGAATAACTCTTACGAAGATAAATAACTATTATTCCCTTATAAAACAGTTAAGTAAAAGGCCATCTCTGTCTAATTTTGTCCCGCAAGGTATGCTGAAATCAAGTGCTTTTAAATTATAAATAAGATTTCTTTTTGAATGATACAAGTAAAAGCAAAATTTGATACAAGTGAACAGAAGATGATGAGAATTAACATTCTAGCCTTAATCAATTTGAATTAATTATGATGAAAAATCTATTTTTCTAATAGCATGGAGTACTGGCCTTATGACCCAGTAACAACGACAGAGAACAGACAAACAGATCTCCATGTTTTTCATTATTTGCTTCCTATTGCTATGCAGGAGACACAAAAACTGTGAACTATCATTGACTGTCCTGAATAAACAAACAACAAGTTGGTATTAAATTAGGTTGTGAATAACATTTATTTATTTAACACCTGTTTATAAGTAAAACCACCTGTTTACCTGTATCAAAGCTGAAATTCTTGTTAATGAATTAGGACAATAATCATTGAAATAAGGACTCTCAGATGTGGTTTAGTCTTATGAGTTATATAATTAGCAAAGAAAAACATCTAAGGTTATAGATTTTTTTTTTACATTTGATAATTAATGTATTTTTCTTATACATGTACTTATGTGTATTTCTGGGACAAAGACATTTAAAGGGAGGGTGGAATGTGGTGATCAGTCAGGTTCATTCATGGCCAGATAGCTCAGATTGTGGAGGCCTGTGGGGAGTTCAGGAAACCCCCCAAGTTCAAGTGTTCATCTGGTTCATCATGACATCTCAAACTATGTCAATATTACATTGTTAGTCTAACATATTTAACTGTGATAAATATATCACAGATCGACTAATAGAAGCACTCTGTTACTACATGTATGCCTACCTTAATTATGTCACTAGGTAAGTCAGACACCTTATTTATCACCTGGCTTCCCCTGGAAATGGACAAAAGTGGGTGATCAGCTAACACATACTCAAATTAATTTAATTTGAATATATTCCAATATTTCAGTCAAGGGTTTAAGATTTAATAATAGACACAATTTCACTATCTCAATGCTAAGTGACCTTGAAATTTAAGATATGACCTAAAGTCAAGGCCAGGGCACACCTTTAGATCATTGATAGTCTGAGCCCAACTCAATCAAGTGTTCAACTGTTATGGCCATGAGAAAATATTAGAGACAACAATTAAGGAATGTTTTTAAGTTTTGTGTGAGTTATTGGTGTGTAAATCACATAGACTTGTCATGTAGGCATATTTCATGAAGCGTGACAGCGCTTCATGAAAAATATGCCTACATGCAAGTCTGTGTGATTTACACACCAATAACTCACACAAAACTTAAAAACATTCCTTATATTTATGTTTTATATGTTCAAAAGCACCAAAAATACACCCAGAGTTTGAATATATCGTTACATTTTTATTAACATCTCTGTAGCTCATTGTGATGTTAATTTAGTGCGAGTTTCTCCGTGCATATTTCTACACTTGAGTATACACGAAAAATGGCATTCAAATCAATTTCACAGTTGGCTTAGTAGAAAAACACAGCAAATGTAAATATTGCCAAATTTATTTTGGGGAGACATTTAAAACTGACTTACTTGTATATTTCTCCTTCTATTATTTTCCGGCCACACTGTCCATAAGCATTGTGTCCCAAACTGTAAACTGACAAAAGAGTTGCTATTAATTACATCAATTTAAACTCAAGTTAGCTTACAAAATGATACCAAATAGGTATGAGCTTCCAATGTTTCTCCAATACAAAATTATGATTTGGACACAATAGACAGTGACAAACAGACAGACAAACAGAGGAACTGTGAGACCAGTTACCAGGTAATTCTAAGGTATATAAAAACTTGAATCAAACAGGTGTGCAATAAGATATTGTTTGTACGAGTCAAATGTACATTTTACAGTACAGTAAAATCAATCAAGTGAAATAGGCCGAGGGCAGGAAACTACTAACTTGATATATTGTATAAAAATCTTTGACTCTCTCTTGAAGTTTCAAGCTCTCCTAGCAAGCACATTTCTGTTATCTAAAACCCCAGTCCAGAATGGCTATATGTAACATTGTCAAGAAGACAAAAGTCAATGCAGTCTCTCTATAGGGCTCTACCTCATGTTCTATACAGTAAAACACACTTATAGCGAACATGCTTATAATGAATTGATGCTTACAGCAAAGATATTTTCATTCCCCCTGGCTTTGAAATATATCATAAACTAAACAGATTTAACGAAATACGTTTATAACAAACCAAAATTTCTGTCCCTGGGACTTGGTTATAAGTATGTTTTACTGTATTCCTCTCATTGTAATAAAAAGTAGTGGTAAAGTGACTACTTTAAAAGCTTTAGAACCTGTGTAGGCTATGTCAACAGGATATAGTGATTAAAGCAGCATTGTTTTCATCAGGTTTCAACCAATCATTCAGGGCGTTATTTATGCTTAGGTTTAAAATTAATGTTTATCATTGTTTTCAATGCATTTTATGAAGATAAACATTCCGATTTCTTTTAATGATAACGTATTTCCTCCTCTCACACCGCTGAAAATCAAACATGTTTATTACTTGCTTAATAAGGTGATACACACAGAATAAAGTGCTACATACAGAATACAACTTTCCCAAAATACAAATAAACAAATATGTTTTTGCCAAAAAAAAACAAAACATAGGTAATCAAAGATTACGAAGCTCACCTCGACGAATGTTATCTACATGTAAGGCAAATTTCACATATTTTTTTTCTAGTTAGGGTACATCCCAAGATCAATATCCATGCAAGTTTGATTTAATTATAGACCTGCTCAAAAAACTTTTGACCTGTTTAGTAATCAAGAAAATTTTGGTCACTTCCAACATCCAAAGCAAGTCTGGAAGTTTTCATCCTTAGATGCACCATCTATGCAAGTTTAATCATAACAGGCCATAATATTATATAGCTACTCCAAAAAAATTACCCTGGTCACTCATCTGGAAAATGTACGTCAGATTCAGAATCCAAGGCAAGTCTGGAAGTGTCCATCCCTAGATATCATCCATGCTAATTTGGTTAAAATATGGCTAAGTTCACTCATGTGGAAAATCTAGGTCAGATCCAGCATTCGAAGCAGGTTGGTTAGTGTACATCCCTAGATGCATCATCCATGAAAGTTTGGTCCGGGTAGGGCTTATAGTTACTTGGGAACAAGACTACTCCTAAATCTAAACCTGGTCTCACATGTGGAAAATCAAGGTCAGATCCAGCATCCGAAGCAAGTGTGGTAGTGTCCATCCCTGGATGCATCATCCATGCAAGTTTGGTCCGGGTAGGGCTTATAGTTACTTGGGAATGGACCTGCTCCTCAAACTTTAACCTGGTCACTCATCTGGAAAATCTAGGTCAGATCCAGCATCTGAAGCAAGCTTGGTCGTGTCCATCCCTAGATGCATCATCCATGAAAGTTTGGTCCAGGTAGGGCTTATAGTTACTTGGGAATGGACCTGCTCCTAAAACTTTAACCTGGCCACTCATCCGGAAAATCTAGGTCAGATCCAGCATCCGAAGTAAGTGTGGCCATGTCCATCCCTAGATGCAACATCCATGCAAGTTTGGTCAAGGTAGGGCTTATAGTTATTTGGGAATGGACCTGCTCCTCAAACTTAAACCTGGTCACTCATCCGGAAAATCTAGGTCAGATCCAGCATCCGAAGCAAGTGTGGTAGTGTCCATCCTTTGATGCATCATCCATGCAAGTTTGGTCAAGATAGGGCTTATAGTTTCTTGGGAATGGACCTGCTCCTAAAACTTTAACCTGGCCACTCATCTGGAAAATCTAGATCAGATCCAGCATCCGAAGCAAGTGTGGTAGTGTCCATCCCGAGATGCATCATCCATGCAAGTTTGGTCAAGGTAGGGCTTATAGTTACTTGGGAATGGACCTGCTCCTAAAACTTTAACCTGGTCACTCATCCGGAAAATCTAGGTCAGATCCAGCATCCGAAGCAAGTGTGGTAGTGTCCATCCCTAGATGCATCATCTATGCAAGTTTGATCCAGTTAGGGCTTATAGTTACTTAGGAATGGACCTGCTCCTAAAACTTTAACCTGGTCACTCATCTGGAAAATCTAGGTCAGAACCAGCATCCGAAGCAAGTTTTGTACTGTCCATCCCTAGATGCATCATCCCTGCAAATTTGGTCCAGGTAGGGCTTATAGTTACTTGGGAATGGGACTTGCTCCTAAAACTTTAACCTGGGACGCCGACGCTAACGCCGACGCCGACACCGACGCCGGGGGTATAGCATAAGCTCATCTCGACTTCGTCGAGGTGAGCTAAAAAAGTTAATTCACAACTATTGGTGTCCAAAGCACTTAGAAAATTGTTTTTCACTGACTCCATTCACAGCATTTAAAAAAAAAAGTGGCCCATGGGCCACAACACTCACCTAAGTAGTGCTTTCAGCCAAAAATAAGAATATGAGCGCACCCCTCAATCCAAAATGATAAAACGTTTCATAATCTTCAGAAACAGTTCCATCATTTAATACTTGCATATTTTAGACCAGAGTTTGTGCTCTATACAAAATATTGAAAATTTAACTAAGTTTTACTGTACATTCATTTTGTCTTTTTGGCTCAGAGGTACTTAAGAGGAAGATTTTTCAATGATTCCTCAATATTTTCATTATTTCTCAATCATCTGTCATTGAAAGAAAATTTGAATCCTTCACCCAAGACCGGAAAGATGCTGGACAATGGGTGATCAGAAAAGCTCACTTGAGCTTTCAGTTCAGGTGAGCTAAAAAAAAAGAAAGACATAGAGCCAGACAGACCAAAATGTGTACGGTCAGAGTCTTAAGATTCTTAGTCACTCCTTCAATTGATTTTCACTTACCCAGAAAAAAAAGATCATACAAATGTCATTCCTAGAGTCGTTACCCTCATTTCATGTCTTTTTCATTATCCTTTAGTTTTATTTTTTACTAGATGGAATTTATCTGTTGAAAAACACCATATCCTACTACTTGGGATCTACTTGTGGATATTTTTGCCCTAGACAAAATAAATGGCTATTTTTAACATTTATTTAGCTGTTTTAACCAGCCATGGTCCAAGCTGTGAACTAAAAACAAAGTTGTAGCCAGACAAATCATGAATTCAATCACCAAGCCATGCACAGAACAAGTTTGACCAATCCCCTCTATTATTACAGAAGAGCTCAACATCCTTTGAGACACCAATGGGACGACACCAGCAAACAGGTCATCGAGAACTTGCCAACCTTCAACATTGCCAAATCATCGCTGTACAGAGCTCGCAGGAAACAGACATCGCAACTTCCAAAGACACTTATATGAAAAATACTTGTTTAGGGTCTTGAATTATAGTTGTTATTTAATCAAACAAGCATTCTGAGAGTATTGCATTAGCAATACTAGTCCCCTACCGGCAAGTGTAATCTGGTTCCCGTTAAAAATTGAAAATGCCATATTTCCGTCAAAAATCAATGAAGCGGAATGAAATGCAGACTTGATCTATAGCACATCAAGGTAAAGTCACATACCAAAAATCAGCTCAATATCTGCAAGCATTTAGGAAAAAAGTGCGGAAAACCCTGAAAAATTGAGAAGGTCGTAATTCCGTCAAAAATCATTGAAGCGGAACGAAATGCAAACTTGATCTGTAACTCATCAAGATACACTCACTTACCAAAAATCAGCTCAATATCAGAAAAGTGCGGAAAACCAAGTGGGACAGACTGACAGACAGACAGAGGGACAGACAGACAGACAGAAAGATTGACAGACAGACAGACGGACAGACAGACTCAGAGGAAACCTATAGTCCCCTCCGGTTTCACCGGTAGGGGACTAATAAACTGTGCTTTAGTAAGTAATTTTTATCAGATAAATAAATGTATTTTATTTAGACTGTTCAATCAAGAAAACACAGATAAATGCTACCTGTGCCCCCTTAGAGGGCCTCTTAATTGTGATAATTATATTGATATAGCTAGTTGACATTCGGGGAATAATCTCAATTGTTATAATAGTAATACTGTTATATATGTAATTGACCATATTGATATGAGTGATAAACCTTTCAATTAAACTGTTAATTGTTAGATGGTTTTACTAGATTTTACACTTTTGACTGGACAAGAATGGTTAGTTCACTATTATAATTACCCAAGCTGACCATATATCAGTACACCACCTGTGTTTTATTGCTATTTAATTCGCAATTATTTTTTTATGCAAATCAAACAAATTGTGATTTTTAGAATACACATCACAAAGGTACATTTGATCATATACTTAAAGATTTACAGGGAAAACATAGATTACATGTTTGTTTGTATGTTATTTAACGTCCCTCTCGAGAATTTTTCACTCATGTGGGGACGCCACCATTTGCCGGTGGAGAGCTGCAAATTTTGTCCTATACTCAGCACTTACGGTCATTCAGCATTGAGGGATCTTTTTCGTGCCAGCACCTACTGCGACACAGGACCTCGGTTTATACGGTCTCATTCGAAGGACCGATCTCCACATCCCACAGTGGGATTCGAACCTGCGACATAAGGATCAACTCCTTACTTCACGACTCTAGAGCAGACGCTCTAACCACTGCGCCACGTGGGCGACAGATTACATGTTAAATGAAACAAAA